ACATCTGTAAGAGTTTTCACAGGCATGTGATGAAACAACATTTGATACCAGAGTATATAGGGAGGTATTATGACAAGTGACCAAAACCGTGGTCAAAGAAATAGGTTTCAAGAAGTTTCTGAACAGGAGGAGAGAATTTTTAAGAGGCAGAGAGTTGTAGCGAAGTAAGTCAAGAGCTTAGGGATGAGGCAGCTGAAGCTGAACAGCAAGTGTTAGAATTAAAATTGAGGATGTGCAAGAGGCCAGAATTAGAGCAATGTACGTTTCACTTTATACAGGGAAGTGATTCAAGAAGCACAAAGTTGTCTCTTTATCTGTATGCCAGCAATTATCCATTGAGCGCTGCCCATCTGTAGACACTTAAACACAATGATACAGCCCCAACTTCTGAGCCAGAAGTTCTGAGTTCAAGTCTCACCTATCCCAGAGCTACATCATAACATGTCCAACAGGTTGATTAAAAATCTATGTATAATATACAATTAACAGTACAGAGATCACAAAGAATTTAGGACGATAAACAGTTACAAAAATGTTGCAGAAGCACAGGGCAGATAAGACCATTCATCCCTTCGAGTTTGCATCTGCTCTCCAATTGAGCATTTCATCGCTTGCCATTCTCCTGCTGCCTTCTTGCATTTCTGAACATTGTTCTTTTTCAAATAAAAGTCAAATTCCGTCTTGAATACATGTATTGAATCTGCCTCCACCAGGTTCAGAAAGTGCATACCTAAATCACTCACTATATGAAAATATTTTTGCTTATTTTGTTTTTGCTTCTTTTGCCAATTATTTCAAATCTGTGCCCACTCATTCTTGATATTTTCATAAGACTTAGAAGTTTTTCCCTTTCTGCTTTGTCCAGATTCCTTATGATTCCACTGTTCAACTGTTCCACTCTATTTGATGATGAAGTTCCTAATCCCTAGAAACTTCCTTGAGAATTTTTTCTACATTCTCTCCAGTAACTTCATGCCCTTCCTAAAGTGCAGTGCCCAGAACTGAGGCTTGAGGCCAAACTAGTGTCTTATAGTTGGGAGAGGTTGAGCCACAGAAGCATTGGTAAAGAAGGATGCAATTTTGTGGCACAATGAAGCCTTGTTGGACCAGAGCCAAAATGGGTCAATGAGCACTAGAGCATCATGAGTGAATGGGACTTGGTGTGATTTAGAGGATGGGCAGCATTGAGTCAGAGAGTCATAGAGTCATACAGCATGGAAACAGACACTTGGGCCCAAATCGTCCATGCTAACCAGGTTTCCTAAACTAAACTAGTCCCATTTGCCTGCATTTGGCCCAAATTGCTCTAAACCCTTCCTACCCACATACCTGTTCAAATGTCTTTTAAATGTTGCAATTGTACTAGCATCTACCACTTCCTCTGACAGTTCATTCCATATGCACACCACCCTCTGCATGAAAAAGTTGTCCTTCAGGTCCCGTTTAAATCTTTCCCCTCTCACCCTAAACCCGTGCCCTCCAGTTTTGAACTCCCTTACCCTGGGAAAAGACCTTTGTCTGTGCCACTCATGATTTTATAGACCTCGATAAAGGTCACCCCACATCCTTCTACGTCCCAGGCTAGAACATCCCAGCCCATCCAGCTTCTCCTTTAAGTCAAACCTTCCACTCTCAGTTAACATCCTTCTAAATTATTTTTGCACCCTTTCCAATTTAATAACATCCTTCCTCTGGCAGGATGACCAGAATTATATGCAGTACTTCAAATGTGGCCTTAACAATTTCTTGTATAGCTGTGACATGATGTCCCAACTCCTGTACTCACTGCTATGATCAATGAAGACAAGCGTGCCAAACACCTTCTTCAGTACCCTGTCTATCTGTGACACCACTTGCAAGGAACTGCGTGGGTTTTTCTGTTTGACAGCACTCCCAGGGTTCTACCAGTAATTATGTAAGTCCTGCCCTGGTTTGTCTTACCAAAACGCTACATCTCAGATTTGTCTGAATTAAATTCCATCTGCATTCCTTGGTACACTGCCTCAGTTGATCAAGATCCCGTTGTACTCTTGAATAACCTTCTTCATTGTCCATGATACCATCAATTTGGTGTCATCCACAAACTTACTAATCATGCCTCCTATATTCTAAAATTGTCTTTTTTATAAACAATCTGCAGTGGACCCAGCACCGATCCTTGCGGCACACTGCTGGTCACAAGCCTCCAGTCCAAACAACAACCCTCTACTACCACACTCTGTCTCCTACTATCTAGCTAATTTTGGATCTAATTGGCAAGCTTTCCCTGGATCCCATGTGATCTAACTTTACTAACCAGTCTACCATACAGAACCTTGTTGAACATCTTGCTAAAGTCCGTGTAGTCAATGTCTACAGCTCTGCCTTCATCCATCTTCTTGGTTACCTCGTCATAAAAAGTCATTCAAGTTTGTGAGACACAATTTCCCATGCATGTTAAGATATTCTCAGAGAGACAGAGCAAAGGTCTGAGAGCGAACCTGCTGCCTGCCAAACAGCTGGAGATAAGTGGGAAGAAGGTTGCCTCTGACACATAAATTAGCTCCATGAGCTCAGATTTCAGACTGTTAAGAAAAAGACAGAGTTCAAAGAAAAAAGATTCTCAGAAAAATGTCGAAAACACAATGTGGTTATTTGCTCCTGTTTGTTAAGCTGCTCCTGGCAGGATCTTGAGAATGAGTTCAATGCCTGTCTTTATATGATAGAAGAGATCAGTCTAAAGAATGAGCCTATAAATGAGTGAGGATATACTGGCCCTTCACTATAGGCCAGTTGGATGAATATCAGGTTGGCCATAAATGAAGTGGCCCATCACTTTCTGCTACTGCCTGTGCCAGGACATTAGGGGAGTGGTGTGAGCTTACTGCTACCATGGCTACTACTGCATTGGATGCCAGTTGGTTATGCATAGACAGCATCCCTTATGGGTTTGCTAGATGAGCCGCAGCCTGCCTACTGCCACACCGTATTGAGCAGAGAAGACCCAGATTCAATTCTTGACCACTTGTAAGCTCATTTATACCTGCTGTCACCCGTATCCAGTCTGATAAGATTCTGGCTTGAGGGAGAAGAAAGCAGAGTGATATGGAAAGGAGAATGGGAAGAGGCAATCACAACAGGTGGAGACTTATGGAGAATATTGGCGGCATGGTGGCTCAGTGGTTAGCACTGCTGCCTCGCAGTGCCAGGGACCCGGGTTCGATTCCACCCTTGGGTGACTGTCTGTGTGGAGTTTGCACATTTTCCTCGTGTCTGCATGGCTTTCCTCCAGGTGCTCCGGTTTCCTACCACACTCCAAAGATGTGAAGGCTAGGTGGATTGGCCATGCTAAATTGCCCATAGTGTTCAGGGATATGTAGATTAGGGAGATGGGTCTGGGTTGGATGCTCTGAGAGTCAGTGTGGACTTGTTGGGCCGAAGGGCCTGTTTCCACACTGTAGGGATTCTATGATAAGGATTCTATGGATATAAACACCTGCAAAGACAGGTTGGGCTGAATGGCCTATTCCTGTGTTTTAGCTTCCGTGGGGTTTATTTTAGTGAAAGGGTGAAAAGTGATATTAAATGTACGTTGAGATGCATCTGTTTGAAAGGTTGGTTTAGGTTGCAATTTTAGCTCTGCTTGCTGATTTACCATCCTGTGACTTTGTAAAAAAAAACAGCGTGCACATTCAAGCATGATTGGAAGCAATGCTCATGGGACAGTATGTCTGGGCTCTAAACATTGACAGCTACTGGAATGCACTTACTGACATTCAGTGACAAGTTTCAGAGTGGCTCAGGACCCGAGGGAAAAAGAGCAAAGACATTAGATGGTTCTGAAGGGATGGTCTGGCTAAGGAGGAATGACCTCTACCCCACAGGGCAAAGAATCCTCCTGGGGACAAAGGAAGACTCCGAACAAGATGTCCATCACCAAATGATCCCTTTCTCCTATAAAATGGACTAGAAAATATCAACTCTCCTTTTAGATGAAGTCCATAGTAAAACATCTGGCAATTGTCCCCGAAAATCTCCCACTGCGCCTTAAAAATACACATCAAATGCACTGGAATTAGTCGATCCCACAAGCAAGTGAGTATTGAAAGCTAAGAATGAAATGCTCAGCAACATGTGTACTCCTGGCCAGCTGGCTGCCTTTAGGGGAGGTTCTTAAGTGAAGTGTTGGCCACCAAACTATTTCTCGGCTTGATTAATAAGTGCCAGCAGGTAACTTGAGATGCAACCTGCTGCTAAACTTCATGAAGCCCTCCCAAGTGCAGGTTTAAACTACTTTACCAGAATTACATCTGGTGCTAACCACTGGCTAATTTATAAGGGGGAAATAAACCCCTCATGAGGGAGGTGGAATTCACAGAGACACAGTGTTGTTACAGCAGGGAAGGAGACCACTCAATACATTGTGTTTGGATCAGCTCACCAAATGAGCAAATTCATCTCATCCTCCTGCTTTCTCCCTCCCCCTAGCCCTGCACTTTCTTTCTTTTGAGATAATAATACAACTTCCCCTCAAATAACTTCATTGATCCTTCCTCCACCACACTGTTAGGCAGTGCCTTCCAGACCTTACCAAGTTGCAGAGTGGAATAGATTCTCTTCGTGTCTCCTATGCTTCTTTTGCCCGTCAACTTAAATGTAACTTCATGTTCTGAATCCTTTGGCCTGTGGTAACAATTTCTCCAAGTCTATTTTGTCTCTTCAATTCATGATTTTGAACACCTCCATCAAATCTCCTCTCCACCACTTATTCTCCCGGCAAAATCATTCTCAACTTCTCAAACCTAAGAACATAACTGAAACTCCTCATCCCTGGAACCGACCTCATGAATCTCCTGCAGCCTTTCTAGCTAAAGGTGGGAAGAAATAATTGGGAGTGGGAGGTGGGAACATGTGGCGTACAAACGCAGCAGGGATCATTTGAGGCAAACATATCATGTCAGTGCTGTAGATTCAACATCATTCTACTTGCTTCTGAATATTCTCTTCATTTCTATTATCAGCAGGGATTTCTGAGCCGCAGGCTCAAAGGTTCTATCAAGCGAACTAAGAGTCAGCCCAAACTGGATCGAACCAGCAGCTTCCGGCATATTCTGCCCCGATTCCGGAGTGCAGACCATGACAGGTCAGAAAATAAGGAGTTTTACTCCACTTGTTTTACTTTCTGCATTCAGTAAAGCTACAGGTGGATATTTTAATAGTCTTATTTGTTACTCCAATCTACTGGCATTGACTCATTTGCTTGTGTGAGCAAGAAAGTATGTGCATGTGTGAATGACTGCATGTGGTTGTGTATGCCCAGCTTTGTGAACATAGGTGTACGATTACGTATGTCCCCATGTATGGGCAGGTATAAATGCAAAGTAAAGTGTATATGTGGGTGCCCAAAAGAATGTAGCTAAAATTCCTACTCTAATGCATGAACAAGAAGATAATGGAAAATGACAAATCTCCACTGATTTGATTTCAGATGTGGATTTTAGTCCAGCTTCACTTGCTGTGGGCTCCAGCAGTTTTGTATCAAATACCTTGTCACAGTTTTGCTCCTGCACATAGTCTGGAGTGTAAACTTAAAAAACAGGTGAAGAGATCGCGAATAACCACAAACTGCCACTACTGACAGATACTCATTATCTGTACAGTCAACCATGAATACGGTTATGGCTGAGGCAATTAAAATGTCTAATTAGTGTTAGAGTCCATTACAATAGGTATTTCGCTGGACTGACCATTACAGGAACTGACACACAGAGTCAATCTAACAATCCAATAGAGTTTGTCATTGAGAGACACTGACCTATACAAATCTTCATGGGTACTACCCATAGATTCAATCAATGACACTGACCCATCGCGTCCATCAAAGAGAGATGCTGACCCATAGAGTGCATCACAGCACTCTATGGCATTCGGAGACACTGACCCATAGAGTCCATCACAAAGAAACACTATCCCAGAGGGTCTATCACTGAGAGACACTAACCATTAGCCCATCACTGACACTTACCCATAGAAACCATCACAGAGAGATACTGACCCATAGAGTCCAAGACTGATACTAAAACATAAAGAATCCATCATGGAGAGAAACTGACCTATAAAGTTCATCATTGACACTGACCTGGAGAGTCTATCATGGAGAGACTATCCCTGAGAGACACTGGTCCACATAGTCTAGCACTGATACAAAACCCAACATGTCCATCACTGACACTCACCTCTGGAGTCCATCACTGACTCTGCCCCATAGACCCCATCATGGAGAGTCACTATCTCATAGAATCCAACACTGATAGTGACCCATAGAGTGCTTCATTTTATTTTTCATTTGTGGGATGTGGGCGTCGCTGGCTGGCCAGCATTTCTTGGCCATCTCTAGTTGCCCTTGAGAATGTGCTGGTGAGCTGCCTTCTTGAACCAATGCAGTCCACCAGCTATAGGTTGACCCACAATGCCATTAGGGAGAGAATTCCAGGATTTTGACCCAGTGACAGTGAAGGAACGGTAACATATTTCCAAGTCAGCATGGTGAGTGGCTTGGAGGAGAATTTGGATGTGGTGATGTTCCCATGTGTCTGCTACCCTTGAGCTTCTAGATGGAAGTGGTCATGGGTTTGTAAGGTGCTGTCTGAGGATCTTTAGTGAATTTCTGCAGTGCATCTTGTAGATAGTACACACTGCTGCTACTTTAGGAGTGTCAGTGGTGGAGGGAGTGAATGCTTGTGGATGTAGTGCCAATCAAGCAGGTTGATTTGTCCTGGATGGTGTCAAGCTTCTTGACTGTGTTGGGGCTGCACTCATCCAGGCAACTGGGGAGTATTCCATCACACTGCTGACTTGTGCCTTATAGATGGCAGTCAGGCTTTCAGGACTCAGGAGGTAAGTTACTCGCCACAATATTCCCAGCTTCTGACCTGCTCTTGTAGCCACTTTGTTTATGTGGTGAGTCCAGTTGAGTTTCTGGTCAATGATAACCCACAGGATGTTGATAGTGGGGGATTCAGTGATGGTAACACCATTGAATGTCAAGGGGTGGTGGTTAGATTGTCTCTTATTGGTGATGGTCATAGCCTGTCATTTGTGTGGCGCGAATGTCACTTGCTACTTGTCAGCCCAAGCCCGGATAGTGTCCAGATCTTGTTGCACGGACTGCTTCCATATCTGAGGAGTCACGAATGGTGCTGAACATTGTGCAATCATCAGCGAACATCCACACTTCTGACCTTATGATGGAGGGAAGGTCATTGATGAAGCAGCTGAAGATGGTTGGGCCGAGGACACTACCCTGAGGAACTCCTGCAGAAATGTTGATGACACCTTCCATCACTTTACTGATGATCGAGAGTGGACTGATGGGGCGGTAATTGGCTGGGTTGGATTTGTCCTGCTTTTTGTGTGCAGGACATACTTGGGAAATTTTCCATATTGCTGCATGGATACCAGAACAGTACAGTTCTGGAGCACAACTCTTTAGTACTATTGCCAGAATGTTGTCAGAGCCCGTAGCCTTTGCAGTATCCAGTGTCTCCAACCGTTTCTTGATATCACGTGGAGTGGATCGAATTGGCTGAAGCTAATATCTGTAATGATGAGGACCGCTGGAGGAGGCCAAGATAGATCATCCACTCAACACCTCTGGCTGAAGATTGCTGTGAATGCTTCAGTCTTATCTTTTGCACTGATGCGCTGAGTTCTTCCATCATTGAGGATGGGGGTTTTTGTGGAGCCTTCTCCTCCAGTGAGTTGTTTAATTGTCCACTACCATTCACGACTGGATGTGGCAGGACTGCAGAGCTTAGATCTGATCCGTTGGTTGTGGGATGGCTTAGCTCTGTCTGTCATTTGCTGCTTTTGCTGTTTGGCGTGCAAGTAGTCCTGTTTGTGGCTTCACTGGGTTGATACCTCACCTTCAGGTATGCCCAGTGCTGCTCCTGACATGCCCTCCTGCACTCTCCATTGAACCGGCTTTGATCCCCTGGCTTGATGGTAATGGTTGAGTGGGGGATATGCCAGGCCACGAGGTTACAGATTGTGCTGGAGTAGAATTCTGCTGCAATTCATGGAGAGACACTAACCCATAGAGTCCGACACTGACAGTTACCCATACAAATCATCACAGACCCTGACCCATAGAATCAATCAATGATATTGACCCACAGAGTCCATCACTGAGAGACAATAATAATTGAGTTTATAATGGGCACTGATCGATGGAATTCATCAGTGATAATGACCCATAGAATCCTTCACAGAGAGACACTATCCATAAGAGACACTGCCCTATAAAATCCATCACTGACACTGACCCACAAAATCTACCACTGACACTGACTCTGACTCATAGAATTCATCAGGGAGAGACACTGACCATTGAGTCCATCACTGACACTGACACATAGAGTCCGTCGCTGAGAGCCACAAGTACACACAAACCATCATTGACACTGACCAATAAAGTTCATCACTGATACAGATGCATCCAGTTCACTCTGAGAAACACTAAGACATGGAGTCTGTCATAGAGAACATCATGGAGAGACACTGTCCCATAAGTCCATCACTAACAGTGACCTACAGACCTACTACAATGACACTAGCCCATGGTCTATCACTTACACTGCCTCTAGGAGATCTTCATAGAAACATTGAACCCCAGACATTGTCACTGACACTGATCCATAGTCTGTCATGCAGAGACTCTGAACCATAGAGTACATCACTGAAGTTGACCCATAGTCCATCACTAACACTGACCTTGTCAATGATACTGACCCATAAATCCCATCACTAGCACTAGCACATAGTTTATCATGGAGCGATCTGACATATAGAGTCTACAGACCCACACGTAGAAGGTAAAGTTGATATCATTCCAGAGAACCGTAGAGTTGCTCTCTCATCAGAATGAGATGGCTGGTGAAGGGAAAGGTTGAGAAGGAGAGTTGTTTATGGTGTGGGAATTGAACCCATTCTGTTGGTGTTACTCTGCATTGTAAACCAACAATCAGACAATTGATCTAATCAATCCCAGTTCACCATAGTAAATGACTTAGAGACACAGATCCAAACAGTCCATCATTGACAGTGACTGAGTCCATCATGGACACTGATATTAGGGTCTGTCACTGAGAGACACTGACATTTAGAGTTCATCACAGTTACTGACTTTGATAGATTATGACTGACATTGATGCATCGAGTTTATCAATGACATATACTCGCCTATAGAGTTCTTCAGTGAGAGACAATAAAGACCATTACTGACACTGGCCCATTGAATCCATCGCGAAGAGGCACTGACCAACAGACTCCATCACTGACATTCAACCTTAGAGACCATAGCTGAGAGACAAACACCAAAAGAGTCCATCACAATTATGCAGTCATATAGTCTTAGAGATGTACAGCACAGAAACAGAGCCTTCAGTCTAACTCATCCATACCAACCAGATATCCTACAACTAGTTCCATTTGCCAGCATTTGGCCCATATCCCTCTAAAACCTTCCTATTCATATGCCTTTTAAATGTTGTAATTCTACCAGCCTCTGGCAGCTCATTCCATACACACACCGCCCTCTGTGCGAAAAAGTTGCCCCTTAGGTGCTTTTAACCTATGCCCTCTAGTTTTGGACACCCCCACCATGGGGAAAAGACCTTGTCTATTTACCCCTCATGAGTTTTATAAACCTCTATAAGGTCACCCCTCAGCCTCCGATGCTCCAGGGAAAATAGCCAAGCCTATTCAACCCCTCCCTACAGCTCAAATCCTCCAACCTTGGCAACATTCTTGTAAATCTTTTCTGAACCCTTTCAAGTTTCACAACATCCTTCCTATTCCAAAAGTGGTCTAACCAATGTTATGTACAGCCACAACATGACCTCCCAATTCCAATAAAGGTGAGCAAACCAAATGCCTTCTTCAATAACCTGTCTACCTGCGACTCCACTTTTAAGGAACTATGAACCTGCACTCCAAGGCCCCTTTGTTCAGCAACAGTCCCCATGACCTTGCCATTAGTGAATAAGTCCTGTCCTGATTGGCTTTTCCAAAATGTAGCACCTCACATTTATCTAAATTAAACTCCATCTGCCAATTCTCAGCCCATTGGCTTTTCTGATCAAG